GTACCACAACTCGAGTTCAGTAACAACAATAACCTCAAACACCACTATCACAGCCATCAATACCAGCAGCACATCCACGACGAGGCCAGCCATCAGTCGGCCACCAATTACGGCAACTTTCTGTCGATACCTGTCTTCACGTTTCCCTCAAAAGACGCGTCCAGAGGACGACATTCCAGGTCTAAGTCGCCGAGTCGTGGCTGTCCTCCAGCGGCGCCCACTGTTTGTCCGCAAATCACAATATCTGCCGCCGAGTCTGTGGAGCGACTGATGGACGACAAGTATATGTCATCGCAAGTGGAGGACGAAGGCATTGAATGCGAACAGGACTTCATCGCAAGGGTTTGTTTTAAATAGTTTTTTAACCATTGATTGCAAGAAATATAACACAAGAATATTCTGTTGCAAAACACATAGGAATCCAAAAAATCGCTTAAAGACTGCAAACGGGGTGACAGTTACGCCTCGTTTGAGATGCACTCCCGGCCAGAATCACTGGGTAGTTCCCGACAGGAGCTGAGGTCCGCAGTCGACGGGCACAAGAAGTTGCGCCGAAATCGGTTGATCTCATCGCCCACTCACTCACTCGAGGACTTCAATATGGAACCGATCCGACGGTCGGGCGATAGCCTACGGGCGCCCAAAATCCGGCGAAACCCTTCGTGGCCGGCGGTCATGATCTCACCGAACTCGAGCTCTTCGTCCGAATACGAGGCGTCCAAACGGGACCAGTCGTGGTCGCTATCGGCCAAGAAGTTGTCGTCATCGCCGGTACAGCAGCACAAGTCGTCCGCCTATTTGACTCCCAAAGTGAAGAAACTGCACAAACGGCGGCTCAAGTCGTCGTCTAAACGACCGCAACTCGAGTCCAGTCTATCTGTGAATAGCTGTCCCATTAGTAGCGATAATAGACTGTCGGCGCGGGTTTCATGGTTTCAATCGTCGCGCTCGTCGTCTACGGAGTCGTTCCTGTCGTCCGCTCCCGACGACGACAACACCATTATCTCCCAAATCCGGTGCCGTAAACACCATTCGTCGCAATCTCTGTGCGACCGCTCTGTCTGTGATATATTTAACGCCGCGGCCAATGATTATGACTTTACCGGCGCTGGAGGTGGAGGTAGTGGTGGTGTCTGTGGTGGACAATCGGCCCCATATTTACGCCCAAAACAGGCCATCGCTTCCATATCGGACACGGCGTTAGATAAACGCGTCAACGATCCCATCAATTGGTGAGCGATCTGTTGTTGTCCTCTATTTTATGCCATTATTTGTTTAATTAATTGTTTTGTATTGAAATTCAATAAATAGTTTTGAAAAGCAATCGTCAAAACCGGTCAGCAATTCATTGGACGCGTCGTCGGCGTCGAGAAAGCGCTCCAAACGTACGATACATAAGCAAAAGGCTATGCAAGAGGACGACCACATGTAATAGTTTACCTGTTTTTTATGAATATTAATTAAAGTTAGGGGTTTGAATTGACCATGATCATTTTTTGTTGTTTGTGATTTTAGTTTCGACTCGTTTCTCGATAAACAACTTCTGTTGGAAAGGATTTGAAAAATAAATTCAAGAAAATCTATACTTTTTTGATTAAGAAATGTTATTATATTTATTATTGAGACGAGTGGTGGCCACCAATTGTCTCACTGATGTATATTATATATTACCAAGCTTATTTTAATAATTGGCTCTCTATTTAAATGAATACAATCATTGATTGTGTTAATTCACCGGTGCTATTGGACAGGGAGGTTGGGAAGGGCTTAATATTTATTTATTTATATAATATAAGCCGTTCTCTGCCTTCATATTTGAGATTCAAATCTATTGTTAATAAAAATCTATTAAAATCTAATATTTAAAAAATTTTCTATTTATTAAAAATAATCTGTAAATAAATTAATAAATTTATTAAATATAAAATTAAATGATTAATAAAATGAATTTTAAAAATTGTTGAGTTTATTCACTGAATCGGTGACCAGAATATAATTTTATCCCATAAGGCGTTTGACTTCAAAATATGTGATTTAAAAGTTTGATTAAATTAAATGTTTGTTAAATTGCAAAATAGTTTAATTTCTTAAACTATTTTTTTAAATAGTTTAAATAGTTAAATTTGTCTAAATATATTGATAGGTGATAAATGGACATCCAGTCTATGAAATTAATTAAATTATTTTTATAAAAAGTTAATTTAATTTATAATGCATTTTATTATACGGTATTATGTTTTAAAGTAATGATAGTAAGTTTTGCATAAAAAGATTTACAGTAGGTTTATAAAGTACTTTATAAAGTACTTTATAAAGTACTTTACCATATAGTATTTAATAAATATTGCCTAATGGTAGTTAAATGCGCATGATATAATAAGATAAACACCGGTGTGTTGTCCTAGATACAATAGTTATTACAAATATTTCAATCAATTGTGAAATTATTTAATTTAATAAGAATAGAGTTCTGTTTGAATTTTATAAATAGAAATAAAACAACCATACTTATTCATAATATTCGTCCATGATTACTTTGTAAGTAAATCCATTTATAATATGAAACTATTATTTATTATATAAACTATTATCTATTATTAGGAATAATAGTTAGAATAATAATTAATTATACTATTATAGATATCAATGTATAATGTGTTGAGATTGAGACATAAATTGTATTGAAAATTGTAGGAAATTATGGCCACAAATGCGAGTTTATTGATTAAATTGAGTGATAAGTCAGAGTTAGGAAGAAATTCATTCAATCGTTTTAACGATCAATTGTTTGAAAATATATTATCGTATTTACCATTTAATCAGAAAGTATTGTTTGAATGCCTTTCAAAACGCGTCCAAAAAATTATTTTCACAAAACAATACAAACTTGTATTAAATCGATGGGACTCTGAAGACAGGGATGCGTTGAACAAACTCTTAAAACCAAAACTAATCACCGATTATATGACTGCAATATGTAATGAAAGTGGATATAAACGCATTGATAAGCGATCACTGAAGACATTGTTATTAAAATGTCAATCATTACAAAGTCTACAACTGGACTGTTATGTCGATTCAATTGATTTGAATTTATTTGGAAAATACTGTCCAAATGTGACGGATATTGAGTTTGACATAATGTGTCTCTCGGCTCAGGAATTGTCAAGATTTGGCCAAAAATACGGACATTTATACCAAAAGATTACCGTCTATTGTGACCACTTTTTGTGTTCATATTTACATCAATTTATTATTCATTGTAAAAATATTCGTGAATTAATTTCACCCGAATATTGTGTTATAAAACTCGAAGATAACGTATATTTCCCTTCACTCGAGACTATTAAAGAATTTTCAATAACTCAACAAGATGTATCCATATTTACCACGTTTTGCTATAAATATCAAAATTGTTTGAAAAAAATTAATGTTGAATTCAATAGTGATTTGAAAGAAAATGAGACCAAAAATTGTATGAGTGGTTTATCATTATTTACACAATTAAATCAATTGGGAATTTATTTTTACCAAAATGATCATAATGCAAAAATTGACTGGATTAATGAACATATGTGTCAATTGTCAACGAATAGTCCCCAATTAAAGTATTTTGACTTTACATTTCATTCAGATAATGTCAATTCACTATTTGATTTAGTTTATTCATTTCAAGCGTTTTACAATTTAGTTAAGTTTAGATTATATATCCATTTAATTAGTGAAGCAAAACTATTATTCGGTAACATTAAATGTCTTAAAAATAGCAAAAATCTCAAACACCTAAACATTACTTGCAATTTATTGCCAGAAATGTTTTTTGAAAGCATTGACACAATTTTACCAAATCTACGGTTTTTACAAATTGGTTGTGAATCGGAATTTACAAATAAATCTATTCTAGAGTTTTCTCGACTCAAAAAACTACGAGAATTTCATTTCAATAGTTTTGCAAAAAACTATAAATTAATAACTGATGAAAGTATTTGTGAATTAATTAAAATGTGTCCAAAAATATACTTCGGTTCGCGACCTATGATTACGGCCACAACTATTCAATGTCTCATCAATAGTGCCGATAATAATCCGAAGACTGTATTTCACTTCAACTGCGGTCTCGCAATCGATGGCACAGAAAATGATTTCATTAATGCATTGGATTTAACAGAATTTGCGGATAAAATACCCGAAAATTTAATATTAAATATTGAACATCAATGAAAATGATGATTGATTATAAGTTATTGTTGTCATTCAATAAAAATAGGCTAATTGATTAAATTTACAAATTATTTATTTATCATTTACTTAACTATGTTGATTATAATTTATAATACTAATAAAGTTTGATTGTAAAGTACTAAGAATTGTCATAATAAACAACATGTATTCTAATTTTATGTTTAAAAATAAATTTTACTCAATATTCAGTAAATAATGTTTTTAATTGTATTTCATATTCTTTATTTATTAAATGATTATAATAAAATACTAAATTAGTATTTACAGTATAGGTTTTTACAATATACTGTACAATAATTACTTAAAATTTTGCAATTATTTTTTATTAATACTCCGTATTCAAAGTTGTATTATGTGGGTAGTTTGTTGCATAATAGTAATTCAACGCGCATATGCTGTAATAAGTTAAGTCAAACCGGTACTAAGTTAGCAAAAAATTGATGACAAATATTACTATCAATTTTGCAATCATTAATTAAATAATACATCGTTTTGTTGGCGTTTTTAGTCAAAAACATTTGAGTATTTAATTTCAATTGTTTACAACGTTTTATTACATTATCCAGGAATATACCGGTATGATAATGTTTAAATTATAATACAACTTTTTAATAGCTAATGTTTGCAAACTATTAATGTGTACATTTTATATTAAAGGTATTGAATAAATTGTGTGAAACTATGGCCATAAATATCAGTGCTATGAATGAATTGAGTGCTAAACGAGTCTTAATAAGGGATTCTATGAATCGATTCAACGACCAGTTGTTTGAAAATATATTATCGTTTCTAACATTCAATGAGAAAGTATTATTTGAATGCCTTTCAAAACGTGTCCAGAAATTTATTTTCACAAAACAATACAAACTTGTATTAATGTATTGGGACTCTGAAGATAGGGATGTGTTGAACAAACTCTTAAAACCCAAACTAATCACCGATTTTATGACCGGATATTGTAATGAAACCGGATATAAACGCATCGATAAGCGATCTCTGAAGACATTATTATTGAAATGCCATTCATTACAAAGTCTACAATTGGAGTGTTTTGTTGATTCAATTGATTTGAATTTATTTGGCAAATACTGTCCAAACGTGACGGACATTGTATTTAACATAATGTGTCTCTCGGCTAAGGAATTGTCAGAATTTGGTCAAAAATATGGGCATTTGTACCGAAAGGTCGGTCTAAATAGTGAGCACTTTTTGTGTTCATATTTACACAAATTTTTCGTTCACTGTAAAAATATTCGTGAAATCGTTTCACCAGATAATAGTATTTTGAAAACCGATGACAACCTATACTTTCCTTTACTCGAAACTATTCACAACTTGTCTGTAACTAAAGCAGATTTAGTCAGATTTACCACGTTTTGTGATAAATACCGAAATCATTTGAAAAAACTTAACGTATATTTTTGGGAAGATATCGATGACAACGAAGTCAAGAATTGTTTAAATAATTTATCATTATTTACACAATTAAATCACTTGGATATTGCTTTTGGGCCATATATTGAGGCAATTGATTGCATTGATGAATATATAATACAATTATCGAGAAATAGTCCCCAAATAAAAGTTCTCAATATAACGGGTTATCCAAAAAATTTCAAATCCCTTTTTGACTTATGTTATTCGTTTGGAGAGTTTTATAAACTAGTTAAACTTGAATTAAGCATACATGGTAATGAACCCATTAAGCTATTGTATGGAAGTGTCAAATGTTTTAAAACACTCAAAAATCTAAAATCCTTAATCATTTCATATCATTTATTGTCGGAATATTTCTTTGAAAATATTGACACAATTTTACCAAATTTACGGCAATTAAACATTTGTTGTGAATCAGAATTTACTGATAAATCTATTTTAACGATTTCTCGACTTAAAAAACTACGAGATTTTCATTTCAATA